GGCCGAGATCGCCGGGAGTGGAAGGAGGTTGCACACCGCGAGGCCTGATCCCGTGGGAGTCTACACATTGAAAGGCAAGCCCCTCGGGCCCGCCGCCGGGGACCATCTCCAGATGCACTTCCTCTTCCCGCGCAGGGGGTGGTGCTGAAGGCGGGGCGGGGGCCGGAGCGGCGCGGCGGCCCGCGCAGGGCCCGGCTATTCTGTGCCGTTGTGTGTCCTATCGTCCTGCCACAGAACTCGAACCCATCTTCCTCCACCATTAGCCCGGTGTTCCCTGTGTTTTCTAAAGTCGGCGTGTCTCCAGGTTGCTGCACCCGTGTTGAACCTGCCTTTCAGGAGCCGGCTTCCCCTCGCGTCTGCTTCCCCCATTCACTGTGTGGCCAGCCCTGCCTTGCACCACCGCCGCCAAGACTGCCTCTTATTTACTTTTGCTTTTTCTCTGAGGTCACTTTCTGTGCCTCCTCCAGGTACCATTTCCCGCTGCTTTTCTCAATGCACTCGGCAAGTACCCCCCAAGCCAGACAGGGCCTTTCCTTCACGGGCAAAAATGTGCCAACTTACCTTTTGTCTGTTTTTTCCTACCTCTTTTCTTACTTGTACGTTCTGGCAATCTTTCCTGGCTTTTATCTCTATACATAGATATTTACACGTGTGTCTGTGCTTCCTACCATAGCATCAGCTGTTTAGGGCATAGTTTTTGTCTCATTCCACTCTAGATTATGTGGAGCACCTCAAAGAATGCTTTGTGCATGGCAGATGGAGAAAATATTTGTCCAGTGAGTTAAAATGATGATTAGTGCCAATCTTATGGCCAGCTACCTGTTAACAAATGAAGCTTAACATAGTTGGCCTCCCCCACTGCGTTTCGAATACTATGTTATTGTCCCATGCTAGGATTTTCTCCTTTCTGCCCTTTTCTCTTTGTTGACTTTTTGTTCTTCTTGGCTTATTTACTGCAGGCAAAACAACAAAACCCTACCCCTTCCTTCCAACTCTTCCTGACCCTGATTGTCTTGCTTTCTTCTTTTACCCCAGAGTGTGTGTATTCCTTCCAAAAGCCAGAGGTCCCAGTTTTATAAACCAACTTCTGGTAACCCCAGCAGACAAAGTCTTGAACCAGGTGTTTAAGAAAATGAAGATTTTCTTTTTGTTTCTCTTGTTGAACAGGAGAAGAGAGAGCTCCACAACAAGGCTTAGACTGTTTTGGTGCCAGGGGAAGTTCAGGAAACCACAAGGTCTTCACTTTTCCAGACTCCTTAAAATGGTTTGAAATAGCTTCTGGAGGAAAACGCAAGGTGAAGCTTGTATTACATCTCGAGAAATCGTTTACAGTTGTCCTTAAAAATCTCCTAGACATAGCCTCAAACAAAACTTGTTAATTTAGAGAATTATAATTTATCTCTCAAAAGTGACACTGTCTTTTAAAGAATTGTGATGACTGCCAGGAGTGCTGTTTCTTCAGTATGCTGTCTGCACTACCTAGTATCATTTAAGAGGACCTTAAATAAGTAGTTTATTAAACATCCTACAATCCATATCCATTACCTTATTACATGTTAACGTAATGGGGCCCCTCTTTTGGAGTGGTGTATAAACACTAAAGGGTTCAGCTGAGTCAAGTTTATCAAGTTTATTGTTGCTTTAACAAATGATTAACCCTATATTCATTGTTCTAGACACAGGATAAATACTATAGACTTATTTATTTTTCTAGCAAGTAGTTTCACATATAATAAATTAGAAAAGCAATTGAAATGCGAGGTAAATATATTCCCTTGGAGAATCATCCTGAGCCTCATCTTGAAACTACATGTCAAGTTAAAAATATCTTGGATATTATTATCTGGTAAATGAGAGTTTATTACATGAGGTAGAGGAAAATGCCTGCTTTTAGCTCAATAGCATTTTTGAGTTCAAATTTTACGCTGAAAAGCCTTTGTGATTTTATAACACTGAAAAGAGAGGCATTTTGTTTTTTAATGAGATGACTGGCCTTTACCTGCTATTCTCACTAATAGCTGACTTAATTTATAAAGGCTGCTAGCAAGGGAGCAAAATACCTAGTGATTGGTAAGCCAACATAAAATTCATTGAATGAGAAGGACAGCTGAGCTCTGCCTTCTCGTTCAGCAGCCTCCCAGGTCTGCTCACAGCAGTGGATGCTAGTTGCTCCAGTTGTAGTTGTCTGGCCAATGATGATTATCTTCTGATGTCGGCTGACATGATGTTCACCAATAGGAAAGCAGGAGGCCTGTGCTGACTGCTGTAACATTATGTATGTGAGGTGACATCATCACAGGGCTTGCTTACAACCTCATGAAACCCTCCCCCCCTCACCTCAGGCATCCTCCACATCCAGCCTTTCAGTGCTTTGTATGTTTTTCTGACTTGTTCCCCTCCCTCCTCCAGTGGTGATGGTTATAAGGGTTTTACTGTTTTTATATTTTGTGTTCTGTATTATAGGGTCTATAAGATAGTGTAGGAATTTTTAGAATTAAATATTGTCTGGCTAAGGAAACGTTTTTATCCACTAAATTTGTTTTTAGTAAGGAAAAAAATTAAAAGAAACATTACTTAAAAGAATCGTACATCTACATGTTCTTTCTTTTTGTGAGGTTTAGAAAGTAACATGATGTACAATTTCAGTACTAAAGAACATAAAAGTATTATAAGCCTGTATTAAGATTTTACTCAAAATACAGCATCACAATGTCTATCAAACTTTTAAATGCAGGCTGTTGTTTTTCTTGTGGTGACAGTTGCTTTGCATTGATCTCTGAAGTCCTCCTTGTGACCTGCTGCATGCATTTGTAAGAAAAATGGCTGGAAAATAGTGCAGTCTATGGTCATGAAACAGAAAAGGCCAGAGCCTCATTTAATCAATGACACTACGGCAAATACAAGTTTGGTCAGCTGTCTAGGAAAATACTGTGTCCACATTGTACTCATTATGTACTCATTATTTTGGAGAATCACAGCTCATATTAGCCTTAAGATTGAAAAGCCCAGAGTGTGAAGAACTTAGCTTGTCATTCAATAAACTTCAAAGAGCACTGGGATATTGGCCTAATATGCATCAGGTTAAGAATGAGAAGACTGAGAAAATGTATACAAAAGATTGTGTGGGACTTTTGATCTGAAAACTTTCATGTATCTTTAGAAAATTGAAGTATATTTATGCAGTCCTTGGTTTTTTAAGGATTCCCAGGGATAATGCAAATTATTTTATGATTATATTATTCATCTCTATATTTACATTAGTTATAAATAGTACATGATGGTAAAATTTTTACATAAGGCCTTTCTTTTAATTGGGAGTTAACATTCATGGTCTAGGGAAGACTGCTTGTTGCTTGTAATGTTAGATGATAATTCTAATGGTGTCAGTATCACATAGAAATTTAACTCCAGTTAACTCACTCCAAATCTAAGAGTTGCTTTGAATACTTCCTTTAAAGAAGAATCTTTCAAGTTGTCCAGTGGAAGAGCTGTAAGGGGAATGGAGACTTAGAAATACTTAGGAGGGTATAAAATCACCATCATAATCAGTTTTCAGCCAACAAAGTAAAATGAAAGAATGTAGCACTATTCAGTCAATTCAAGAATTCATCTTTGCTCCACTGATCTGGATATTTTAGGCCCATGTATTTTCTGAGATGAGTTGTCTAAAAATCATCTCAACCCACTTGATAAATGTGTGGACATAGGTGAGCTGAGCCCTTTATTAATAGGAACCAGACAACAGTCCACAGATTTGCCTTAGCTCTTTACCTTTATTATCTTCAAATCTATCTGCTCCCATTTACTTTCTATTTATCTCTGTTAGGAGAGCATAGGAATTTACCTAGAATAGTTACCTATACCACAGATATTAGTTCTATTGACAACCCTAGGAAATTTGAATGAAAATATAACAGCTTTATTGAAATATTAAGACTCATAGCTTTATTCCTTTATCAGTATTCTGATTGTGTGTGTATACAGGTAGGTACAAATGTGCAGTGTTGGCATAGCTACTCGGAGAATTTTTTTAAAAACAGCATTTTTAATTCTATTTTAGAAATAGATTAATCTTGAAAAAAAAAAACAAAAACTATTGCCCTAGAGTAAAAAATGAATTTCTAATTTTAAGTTTATTGAACAAAAACAATCCCAAAGTACGAGTTATTTAAGTTCAAGATTATGTATTTATCATAATTCATTTCTATATTGAGTACTCATGATTTTTGGTTTTAGAAGTTTTTATCCTACTATACGCTATTGGAGTGATGAGTACTTTTAGGAAACCTTTTGTTTATGTAGTCATCTACTGTGAACTTTCTGAAATTTAACTTTAAGCTTATTTGCCCCCAAAAAAGGACAAGTGAAAAAGACTGACACTTATCTTTGCTGAGATGAATAAGATGTGCTGATTAGAAGCAATTTTACTGGATACTCATGGTTTTCTAATACTTTTATTCTATTTACTTTAGGATGTCATAATTTAGTTTTTTCTTAAGCTTTTGTAGAAGAGTTTCTAATGGCAATCTGATAAGAATTATCATTGTCATAATGTATTTTTTGGTGGAGGAACCCTATGTTTTTAATCAGGTTTATGATCACACATTTTAAGTGAAATAATTATAACACCATTTCCTTAAAGATAAATTTCAGATATTCTAGCTCAACCTTTAATTTTATTAACACCTATCATCGAAGTTTTTCTTTTTAAATGATCCTTTGAGTTCTGAGGCTGAATCTTTGAATTAACTATTTGTTAACTCTTAATGGACAATATACAGATCATTCTTTGAAGACAAAAGAGGAGTGAAATTCATGTTTATCATTTATCTTTGTTAGGAGAGTACAGGCATTTACCTTAAAACGTATATGTATGTATGTGTACATGTTTACATGTACATATACATATGTTAAAGTGACTTTTTTTTTAAAAAATGAAAACTGATGCCCCATTAAATACCATTACTTATCTATTGTTTGCTCTTCGAAGAGTATCTTGCTGAGCCAAACATATTTCTAAAATTTGCTGCAAAATAAGTCCTAATTTAATTGATGATTTTGTCAATGTTTTTTTTTTGAACTAGTTAAATAATATAACTTAATGTCTTTTAAAATTGATCATTTAATACTTTAGATTTACCACAATTATTAATAATTTAAAAAATCTTCAGCATGGTTAATCATAGCTGAAACCCTCAAGTTTTCCTGTCTTAGGCCCAGTTGCTTAGCTCCATAGAGGTGGTGTTAAAATGTAAAAGTTTTTAAGATGCTAGGCTCACTCTGACTGAGATGATAGACTTTTTCAGGTAAAGTGAGTTCTGTGGAATTGAATGTTTTGAAGTTGAAAATTTCATGATCTTGTTTTAGGAGGCTCAGTGGCGGGGGCGGGGGTGAGGAGGCCTTGATAAAAAGGTTAATTCCTAAAACTTTTTTTTTTAATATGTGAGACATTCGTTGAAGTCCATTGGTGCCTTAAGAATTTAAAAGCTGGACTATCAGTGGTTATCCTTACAATAAGAGGGTAGGAAGCTCAATAAAAGGTACTCTAATATCAGATTCTATAGTTTCTTCCCAATTTTATCACTTTTTGTCATAGACTTAAAGATCTTAATATGGTAGCTTTTGTTCTTTCTGGAGTAATGATACTAATAATTGATACTTACATAGTTATTTAGTGATTGTAGGCATTCTTTTAAAATGTTTTACATATATTAGCTGTTAAATACTTCCAACCACTCTTTGATGCATTATTTTTTCAAATTTTACACAACAGGAAATGAGCAGTATGGATAAACAAGCTGGGATTTCCACATAGGGATAAATAGGAGAGAAATAGGCTCCAGGCCCAATTTAAGATTTTGTCACCTAGGTCCCAATCATCCTTTATTTGAATAGGAATGCATATTCAATTAATAAAACAATGCACTTGAAAACTTGGCAGCACTATAAACATGCCGAGTGCCTTACATGTTTATACTTGGAGTAATCTCACAAGTGTCTGTTTTTTAATTTTTCACCAAGTGGATCCTGAACACTTAAGGCCAGACTATGAAAAACACCTATTAACATTATAATGAACATTAAACTGTGTGGATAAATACTTTAATCATTAAGTAATTATTTTCTGAATATTATTTGTTCAGTATCTATCAACATTTTTATAACTGGAGAAAGCCATGCCACCTTTATTGATACTCCTATCATAAAAGACTCGTTTCATTTCAAACAAACCATGACACACAGACTTGGAACATTTCTTATAAAGTATACTTTTTCTGTCTGCTTTTCCAAACTG